TTTGTTTCAGAACTGTTTAATGCTATACTGTGGAACATTCTAGGTAAACAGTAATATATCTATGGTTTAATTGAACATTTAAAATATAACTGATAGCAGAACTCTGTGCCACATAGCTTTTATTTACAAATGTTGTTTTGTTTTCTTATTCACAACTTATTGGGTTCAAGTAATTCTGAACAAATAAACAAAACAAATAAATTATGTTCATAAAAACACACATAAAATATATGCTTATATAGTGTTAAAATATTCCACAGTATAATGCTTTACTGTGCACTGTGAACATTCTAGGCCAAACAGTAACATGTCTATGGTGACAAGACTCCATTTTTAATTAAGGGTGCAGTGCAAATGTAAAAATACAAAAATCTGACACATGTAAAAGGCACATTTTACTAGTCGAGACCATAAGTTAAACGCAATGGAGTTTAGATGTCTCATTAAGGATGCTTATCTTATTCAGACTTTCTACAAGTGAAGAAAGAGTAAAACCAGGGCCGACGGCCTCTTGCTTCTTAAATGTCCACCCCTAATCACACCTCTGCAACTTACAGCCTACTTTTTTTTTTTTTTGCCTAATCAAGAGTGGGTTTGAGCAATCAAAAGTGTCAGTCTTTTCAGCTCACTTGAAAAATAGTTGTTAGAAAATGTCCATTTGTCATGATCCAGCATTAGCAAATACCAGAGTTCCAAATGGCTACAGATTTGTGGAAGACGTTCTGGTAAAAAAAAATCTGAACCTGAACAGATTTATGAATATCCTCTGTGGCCGGCTCTGTTTTACTGTTTTACAATAAGCTTCACTGGATAGAAGAACTGCATTAAAGTTGTAATTTTGCAAATGATGAGTCTGAATTTCAATCAGCAACCTATGGGCAATCCCACTCCATGTCACCTACAATGAATACCTACAAAGAGTCCTTGATACAGGGAAATTAAAAGAGGTAATACAAAAAATCAACATAATCATGTGTATAATCACAGAGCTGGCGGTGTGCTGTGAGCTGCCGCTCATAACCACGATATGAGATGGAGTTTATTGCATTAATCATGTAAACGCTGCTCTTGTGATTAAAGCAGAACTACTGTTTATTGCTTGTAATTGTATTTGGGTCGGGCTACGCTCCCAGGGTTTTCACACGCAGCATTAATATTTAATGAGCAGACTAGGATCAGGCAGGGGAAGCAGTTCCTCTTTAATGTTGATCTAGGCCTGAGGTATTGGAGCTGACCTCAGAGCAGCCCTCATTTCTCTGTACAACACACAAGCAGATTTGAATATGCACGTCCAAATATTTATCTCGCAATATTCTTTTCATTTTCCCTCTATTTCTACCAGCGACATGCAGAACAAAAACATGAATGCAAAATAAGGCGATGGTCTATCGAGGAACATGAAAGAACAGAGGGCACATAGGACTTCACCATTAACAGCTGAAAGGAAAATATTGGCTCAGAATACTGTTTATCTTTTTGGACAAAAAACATTTATTTGTCTGTTTTGTTACAGTGATATAATATAATGTAATACCAGGACCACACTTGGGTGCATTCACACTTCTGGTTTTGGAACAGTTTTATTTCTAATGTACATTTGGTCTAGTTCTGTTCTAGTCCAGCTTTAGACCTTGTCTAATCTTGACTTTGTTTTGGGTTTAGTCTCAGTTTAGTCCCAAGTTTGATGTGGTGACTGTGCAACATCCATCTTATTTCTTGTGACCTGATTTCCCAAAGAACCAGAGCAGACAACAAAAGCAACAAGCGAGTGTTAAGATGTCTCCCACTAAATATTTTCTGGATATAAGCTTCAAACAGCAAACTGTTGACTGCAGCTCAGTGTCCCAACCTCGTCAACTCTTCAGCTTTCTCATAGCACTATTACAGCGTCAGATGGAGTTCAGTGACTAAAGCTGAAAAAAACTTTGTTGGGGAGATTTCACATGCTGAATAAACACGTGTAAAGGATTAAGGGAGCCGTCTTCAGCCAGTGGGCTGGCCTGGAACATTTGACTTTTCTGTTTGTTAAATGGAGCTGTAATTCATGCTCTCAAGTGTCACTGCAAAAATAGGAAGGGGAATGTGTGCTTGTATGCTCAATATATTGAGGTGCTGGCAATAAAAACAAATTAAACATATTTACACTGTACATTTTTCATATCCATTTCAGAAAAAAGAATTACACTGCATGCAAGGCCATAATTTCTGTTGGTAATAACTTTGGTGTCTGCATGCAGTGTACAGGAAACAGCTGAGCATTCCCCAGATAGTACAAGGCACATGGTAAAGATTAAATCAATTTAAATATTGCCCTTGCAAGCACTGGATAAAGTGCTTGATGTTTATTTATTTGTGTGTGTGTGTTTTTCATAACTACTCTGTAACAACACATTAAATATTGATTTGGTATATGGCTTTAAATGAGACTCTCTGTATGCTCTAGTAAGTAATTCATTCAAGGCCTAATATGCTGTTATTAGTACTGTGTTATCATATTTGGTGGTGTAGGATGACCAGATTTTCAAAATCAAAAACTGGAACACCCCCGGTTTGGGGTGGTTGGTAATAATAAAATTGTGACATTTCAGTGCAATTGAGTACATTTTCTTTCTGTATTTTGGCTAAACAAATGACAAATTTGTGCAGGGATTCGATTGGTCAAAAATAGGGACACCTGGGATATTTCTTGTATAAAACTGGGACACATTGCTGGTTTTGGATAAATGGATATATGGATGGAGTTGGAGTAATCTCTCATGCCTCTTAGCCTCTTAGAGTGTGGTTATCATATGGTATCATATGGTTTACAATAATTTGATTGAACATTCACTCATTACTCAGAAAACAGTCAGTGGACAATATGTATATGAAAATATGGCCTATATATCAATGTTGTGTGTATGTATGTATTATTGTTATTATTATTATCATTATTATTATTATTATTATTATTATTAGTAGTAGTAGTAGTAGTAGTAGTAGTAGTAGTAGTAGTAGTAGTAATTTGTTTATTTATATTTATTTATTTTATTTAAATTATGACTGCTTTGTTATGAAATGCCATGAAATACACAGTCTACATTTGTCCAAGTTAACTTTGTCTAGTCCTCAGGCCGGTCAACACCCATACAAAAACATTAGCATTAGCGATCTGTGCAAAAGGTCTTGGGGTTTGAACATAGCCTCAAATCAAGTGTGTTTAGGCTGAACTCAGAAACATGGACGAGGAGAAGCGGGCGTGGAGTTAGTGCAACTCAGATTCCACAACAATGAGAAACAGATGATCATGTTCCTCCAGCCACACTGTCTGCCTATGTGTGTGTGCTGCTCCAAACTTTATTGCTAACACATTGGGTGACCGAAGCCCTTGGCAAGTGTGATGACACCACTGTGAGCTTTCCCACATGCTGACATTTTATTTTTTTATTTTATTTTATTTTTTTCAGTCTTTCCTTTCCCTCATCTGGCTGTCCCTCTGTGCGATCATTGCAGCTTCCTCTCACTCAGCCCTACAGCAGGAGCACGAGGTGAGAGTGTGTAGGATGGCGTTGCTTCAGGACTGACAGGGAAACAACAATTTTCTACGGCCAGTAAAGCCAGTGCATGCTTGTCAAGAACGGAGCCGAATGTTACGAAACAATAACTTGGCAGGTTGTTTCTCTCCCACCCACTGGAGGGGAGCCAGCAGAGCAAAGTCGGTCTGGATAAAGCACACACATCCAGGCATGATGACATCTCAAACGCTCATTATTACTGCTAGCTTCATTAGGAGCAGTGCTTTGGCTTCAGTCGACAACCCGTGACTGCACCACAAGCATCCCAGGTGTGCGTTTGTGCGCTGTGTCAAGCTAGCAAGTGTCAAAATGGGAATTACAGAACCATTATATGTTTAGAATCCTCTGACACATTGTGTTAGCATTGTTAAAATTGTGCTACATTTCTTTTGATGGTCGTATGCTCTGTTCATATGCAAAACAGACAGATATCTAGCTTTTAATCTACATTGGTTCTCTGGTGTATACTGAGGGTTAGAAGCTATTGATTGTATGTTTTTGTGAAGGTAACAACTTGATAACATCACAAGACTCCATTTTGCATAATATAGGACCTTTAAATGAAAGGTATAATAAAATTAACAACACTACACTGCACAAAGAAAGGAACTTCTGTTAAATGCTTTTACAAAATATATCTGGTGAAAACATTACTGATTTTCAATTAGATTTATTTTTTAAGTCTTTATGCCATCATACCAGTATATGCTGTTTTAAGGCAAACTACAATATGAATGTGTGAATGTAAATGATCCAGCACCACATGCATAAGATAAACTTCTCCTCTGTGGGACAGTAAAGTGCACCTTATGATATATTCAACACATTTACTTAATTCCTTTTAGTACAATATGTAACTTTCTGGAGGTGGCATGTCACTTGTATCATTCCATGGAGACTTCTGAACATGCTCCATTGAGATAGACTTTCAAGGATTAAGTAAATTGTTTGTTTGTTTGTTTGTTTGTTTTCAGTGCAATAATCCTCTAAAAATAACAAAACATGTTTTATTTTATTTTATACCAAAAAGTTGCATACTGTGGCTTTAAGTTAAGGTTATACTTCATAAAAAACCTTAAAGAATTACAGCATATCCAATTTGAAACTCAAGTCTAATGTTCCTCTGACTCTAGGACAAAAAAGTGACTTAATGAATGCTAATGAGCTGAAGTTGAACTACATAAAAGTAAGTAAGTTGACGTGCTATCTTGTATTCCCACTTTCTCTTTCACTCACACATCGCACAAACAGGGCCTGTGTGCCAGAGCCCCATAAATATCCATGTGCCACAGGATGATGTATGATCCTCTCACTTGTCAGCGTGCCATCGTGAACCAGCAAATTCACAGTCTCACACACAATGAGCTGTGACCCTGCCCCTCCTGCTCTGCGCGCACACGCACACAGGAAACACATTTTATCAAGCTCCTGAACAAGCTATACTGCTGCCCTCTGTCCGCCCCACGGCACTCTGGGAAATGGAGTGTGCTGGGTTGAACTGACCTATGAACTGCAGGCAAGACGGAAATTCATGCCTATGGGTAAGTGAGTGGGTGACGGTGGTTGAGTGTAAATGTAGCTAACAACAGATATTAACAAACCCAATAATGTTAAGATGTTTTGTAACATTCTCAACTTTATTTCTAGAGAACTTTAAAAATAACACAGACGGTGCTGTACACAAATGGAACAAACCACATAACAAACAGTGACAAATGGTAAATAGTCTATCCTGAGTTATAATGTTGTTTCCTCATCAGTAACATACCTTGAGCTGTATTTGTTTCATTCACACATGTTTAACACACAAACACTGCATATTTAGGCTGTGCTTTTCTCTCAAACAGAAAACACATTAATCCATCTTGTAATGTCATGTGGTAATACAGGAAGTGCTCCACTGTATTTTTAAACTCCATATACCTTCATGAGAATCATATGGATGACTTCCTGGAATTGCCCATCTCAGCAGAACTAAAGGTAAAAAGGAACTGTTAACTTGAAAACTACCAATACATGACATCACAAGGTGGAACAGAGCATTTGGACATGTAGATAGACTAATAATAAAGGATTACTCAAATGTGTCAATTAAACTAAACATAACTATGGGAATGGTTTTGAAAAGCTCACAAGAGTAAATTTTGCATATTATAAGACATTTAGCCTAATGTACTAATGTGCAAAGGGAGCTGACTCCACAGCCTTGGAGCAGCCACTGCAAATGCTCAATCATTTCTTTGTTTTCTCTTGGTCTTTGGGACGTGGAGCTTATATATGGACTGTTGCCATTGTTATATACTTTTCTGATAGCATCATTTTCTGAGGCATCCAGAGAAGAGTTAATGGTGACAAGGTCCTGACATAGGCGTAGAGCAGGTGACCACAGATTGGCTCCTTTTGGGCTATAATTGGCTCCTGCTCTGTGTGACCTTTGACCTTATGGCACATGTGACCTGCCCCCCTGAAACAAATACTTATTTCTTGTATTGTATTGAATTGCATTGAATTGCATTCCATTGTGTATAACTGTGATATTCATACTACTAAATCATACTGCTAAAACAAACTGCTTAGTCTTTTGAATATTCCACCATATTTTCTGGATGAATCTAAATAAAATCCTCTTAAGAGCAGAGACATTTGTAATCAAGTGCGAGCCGTTGTGTCATTGAAATAGAGATGTCAGGGGCCACTACTTTATTTTCCTCTAACTAAAGTCCAACTACAACACCTGGAGTATAATACAGTAAAAATACAAAAGGTAATGTGTGTTTAAATAGGCCATATTGTTATAGCTTTTAAAACCATTATATCTGACAGCACACAAAGCTGTACTCTCCTGTTGGTGGGGAATGGTGAAAAGGCCATGTTAAACCTGTCTCCCCTTTTTGTGCCATTTTATTCATGATATGAGTGAACCAGTGTGGTGCATAATACATTTTAAGCTATTCACAATAAGAAAAAAGATGTGAAAACTGAGCAAAGCGTCACCACAGAGATGGAGAGGTTTTTGAACAACTGAGTGAGAGACAATAAGACACAAAAGCATGAGAGTGAAAGAGGGAAGTGCTGCTGATGCATGTGAGGCCAGTGTCACAAAGAGGAAGTGAGAGTGAGCATACTTCCTGTTCATGTCTGCTATCTGCTTTCACAATGCACCAACCCCAAAACAGCAAAGAGAAACTGCTCGCTCTCACAGACATGACTGGTTTTGTTTATCTTTTAGAAAACTAACTGTATTAGTTAAAATGTGATGAAAAAACAAAACAAATGCACATTCTAAATATCTATCTATGTATCACTTCATTTTATTTATTTATTTTCTTAATTTGTGATACACATAGGGTTTGGCAGTGTTGTGTAGTTATTTTGGCACAAATGGGTGATAGGGCCCCGCAGTTTTCTAACATAGAAGTCAGTGGATTTGTTTCTTGCTTAGGTGACTATTGTGATTTAAAATGTTTGAATTATAACATAATGATCCACCAGTGTGATAGATTATAAATATAAAAGCAGGCTCAAGCACAATATGTTTTCTTTAATTCTGAACTTTTGAAAAAATAAATAAATAATGTCATGGAATTCCAGATCAGTCAATCCTTATTCATAAAGTGTTTTTCATTTAAACATGTAACAGTAAGTGCTTTACAGTCATTAAAAACAACTACACAACTGCCCTTCCACCCAGTTTCTCTCCCCACAACTGTCTGACCCCACACAATCATACAATTCCACTCTAAAGTGACACATTAAGTGCATTGTGTGTAATTTTGTGTTGTTCTGAGAAGAGTAGCATAGTAAGCAACATCCAGTGATTTAAGAAGTCAATAGTTTCTTTACAATGGCATAACTGGGTCTAATGAGCACGCCACTGAAATGCCCTCTGAACCCTCTTATAACAAGAGACTTCATTAGTGGCCTGCGCTGTCTCACTGATCATTGTTGGTACTGTATAATGACTGCATTTTCACTAACAAGTTTATCAATGTATTGCAGCACTTATCTTGTTATATTATGTAAACAGGGACATGCTTTCAGCCTGACACTTAAAGTCCTGTCACTGGATGTGCTGGAATGATGGAATGGACCAATACTTGTGATCAATGATAGACATAGTTATTTGGTGCTTGTTGCAGATGCTAGACCCATAGCACAAACTGACATCTTTTACCCATGACCAGAGCCCCCTTCTCTCTCAGCCCCTCTTAGGTTATGATTACCTATCGATCACTAGTTCACACAATCATTTGGTCAATGCTCTAATTGCGTTTTCTCTCTGTGTGGGCTACACAGGGAGGGGATCGATCATCAGCTAATGAGAGATACTGGGGGAGGGAGGGGGTAAAATGCCTGGCCTTACAGAAAGAGACTACAGTATTTGAGCCCTCACTTGTTCAGAAATATAGGCCTTCTGACAGTTTCTGCATCTGCTCTTCATTATAACCCACACAGTATTGACTTAAGCCAGATCTATCAATACATTCAGACACACAGGATTTATCTCCAATTGTTTAAGTGTACCCAGCTCAGCCTGATGAATGCTACAAAGTGAGCAGCCATTTGCATCTTGACCTTTAGTTTTGATCTGAGCCACTTTCGTCTTGTTATTTGATATTAGGCTTATGCGGCTACATTTAGTATTAAAGATACACTGACTGAAATCCATAAATACACTCAGTCAATAGCACTTTGTTATTGAATACAGTAATAGCATGTGATACGATAAAACAATTTGATTTGTTGGCATGTTTGTGTATATAGTACATGTTTCCTCATACACTCTGTTTGTTGGAATTGATAACAAAATGACAATGTTTGTAAATTAAAACTTGGCTAAAAGGTTTGCTGAATTAGAGTTGAGGTGCCAGGTTCACTCCGTTATCTCTTTTCTTGCCCAATAAATACAGTATATTATTAATGTTCTTTCACAAAGGCTAAACACATACTGAATTCATTAAACATATTTCAAGACAGCTGCTACTTGATTCTTGCAAAATAGTGCAAAAAGACCTTACGCACTCGTCATTCACCATCTTGTCGGGGTCACCCACTGACCTCTCATTGACTTCCATTCATTATAGCAGTTATAAATATGGCTCATGCCTTCGGCATGGGTTGCTGGGATACTGCTGATAAAGCAGGGAGCGACCGAGGGACGAAGTTGTGCACAAAGCTTTGTAAGACAATTGACAACAATTGACATCGTTGCGGAAGTAATAGGCCCTATACCTTGTGGGGGCTCAGGCTTAAAAATAAGTAGTGAAAATAGTCTGGTGTCAACATAGTAATACAAATATATCAGATGATGAGAGGTTGAAATGAGAAAACAGTGCAAAATTGAAATGAACAAGTGATTTACATGACCTTATGATCAAAGTTCAAATGATCATTATCATTTCTATTATCATGTCTACTATCATACTATCATTTCTACAAATGCAGATTTTGTTGACTTTTTTCTTTCCTCCACAGCTCTAAATTACAAATATTTTTGATTGGATTCACACAATCTGTCATCTGAACTAGATTCAGTGTTTTATGTACTAGTCTAGTATCTTTAAATTTATGCAAAATAACTGTGGTTGCCACAAAATTCTTTATTTCCTTTAGTGTGGTACATCTTGCTTGCTCCTTCCGCTCTCTCCCTCCCTCGGCCTTTTTCTCTCTTAGCCGTTTCCAGTGTGCGAGTGGGCTGCATATTGATTTTTGTGTTGAACTTGTGTGGCTCTCCCTGGCATGCTCACCCTTGCACCCCCACAAACACAAAGCGGCGGAGAAGTTGATTAGGAGCAGCTCTAAATATATCTTCCTCTTCCACCTCCTCCTCATCCTCTCTCGCTCCGTCACCCACTCATTTCTCCCACTCTCGCTCAATCGCTCATCGGCACATTTTCTCCCGTCCAGTTCACCTGAAAGCCGCACCACCAGATGCTTCCATTTCCTTTTCAATTATTCTCTAGTTATTTATTTTTAGTGTCAGACATTGAATAGATTTGGTTTTGAAATTGTAATTTTAACAAATTCAGAAAAGTCATGGGAACATTTTGTACTGAGTGGCCATTAAGTTTATCTTCAAGGGTTCTTTTTATTTTATTTCCTGAAGTGTTCAATAAGAGAGGAGAGGACACTGATGCTTGTTCAAACTATTGATTGAAAGAACAACCATGTTTGGGAGATGGAAGATTAAACTTGTGAACAGGTTGTTACATTTAGACCTCAAACACACTGGCAGCTCTGTAACAATACTCAATGTAATACCAAATCATTTACCACAGCAAAAAGAGGGTTCAATGTGCCATGCTATCAGAAATACAGGGGGAAAAACACTCTCTAAAACTCTTAATTATTCAAAAAGAGAAGAACTGACATTGTATCAATACTGTCTCTGTGCTATTCAATGGGAAAGCGCAGAGACTGTGGACTGTATAGGTTTTTATTCAACTTTTGTTTAGACAGGTCACTACATGAGGAACAAAAAAAGTCCTTCAGAGTCATTCCGAGTGCCTCAGCAAATCTCCATACTCAGCATCAGTAGCTTATCTTTCATTATACATAGCCAGCATGCTAAAACATGTTTAATTTGCACTTATTCTGTTGCCTTCTACAATGCCTTTCTTGCTGTGTGTATGCAGCAGGCTTAGCTTGATATCACAAGAGTGGAAATAGAGTGGAGACCAGGTGAGAGCTAAGGCAGTGAGCACACTGACCTGAACCAGAAACAAATCCAGGTCACTCAAGTATGTCCTCCACCAAGAAACCACTGAAGCACCAGTATAAACACTACTGCTACTTCTGTTCTTTATTTGCTTTTGTCTGAATGTTTCCAGGTGAAATTACCAATTTATACTCTGCACTCCTTTTTTCCACACTGACCTTGATGGAGGAATCCAAATGACAGAGTGGTCAGGGGGATCCCAGGGTCCAGATGGGTGAGGCAGCCGCTGGGATGTTTCCATGGCGTCTGTCCTGGAGGTAAACAGCACAGAGCCGTCCACAGTTGTGTGCACTGATTGCAGTGTGGGACAAACAAACAAACTCACTGACCCATTCTCCTGGGCCTGTGTATGAGCCACTCTGCATCCCTCCATTCAAATCTCATTTGCCTTCCTCGTTTTACTGAAGGCTGACAGGGATGTGGAGCTGAGCGAGCAGCCACTCATTGTTTGGAACGGAGGAGATTCTCATAAATGGAGCATTTTTCAGACAATGAGCACGTGGGTGTATGGCTTTAGGCATATTTGACAGGATCAAATGACTTACACAGCAAAGGAAATTCTGTCATTTATGAAATAATCCCTCTATTCTTATTTCATCCGCATCCTTTCAGTTCTGTTTTATGTTGCCTGCTCCTCTCCAAGCTGCTTCCAAATAGATGGAGGTAAAATAGGAATCTGTTAGAGCTGGGCTTGAGATACACTTGCTCTGTTTAGATAAATGCACATCACATATTCACTATGATGACTCTTGCTCAAGGCTTGTCCCTTGATCACAATGATTTTAAGCAGAGAAAGGAACATTATGGTCATTATCATATCTTTATCTTTTCTGCTCGCAGGTGTGTGGAAATGTTCATGAGGGCATCCACTTACTAATAGTCTTGGAAGGCTCTGAGTAAGCCAAGAAACAACTTCTCTCTACAAATTAAATTACTTTTACATATGCCTTGTGTCATGTTGTATTTAAAAGTACTCATCTTCAGTAACATACAACACCACCAGGCGTTTATTTATCAGGGCAAATAACCCATTGTGTAACATTTTTATTTTGTGAATTGTGGGTGCTCTGTTGTTACGGCTAATGTGCTTTTACACTGATGTCTTGTGATGTTACGTTGGGGGCTGTTCAAACAAAGAAACTGTCTTTTGTGAAATGAATTCAGGCACCATGGCTTATACACAATGCATAGAGTATTACAATGGAAATATATAAAAAGTAAAAAATAATATGGCATCTTGTGTGAACAAATTCACATGTGAAAGAGACAGTGGTAATGATGCTAATCTAAAGCTGGGTGCTGCCTGTGGTCTGCCTCTTCCCTCTGCAGACAGGTGCACAGTGTGTGCTAACTTCCACAGACACACCAACGCCTCCTCGCAAAATGTCAGGCCTTCAAACGCCATCATTATGCACAAATTAGAAATGTGCCGAGGAGAGCTCAGTGCTGTTTGATCTCCTGCTAGTGTATGTGCGTATACAAGCGTGAGAGACAAAAATAGAGATGGAATAGGAAGCAAGAAGAGACGCTGTCAACCTGCTCGGCCCTCCTCCTCCCATTTGAAGCAGATGTCCAATTTACTCTATATAAATCAATGCACTACCGAGGTAAAGAGCGCCACACTGTATCCTCGCATTACAGAGTTGTTTTGTCTTATGGTGAGCTTGCATTTTGTTAATTCCAGTGAACCAGCCACATTTCACTTGGCTGCAAATTACCTCAGCTCTCAGGCCTAATGTAGAGAGCCTTTCAAAGTAATTTTATTTCATGTTTAACTTCAGTCATGGCATACCTTACTCTGAAAAAGCAAATAGGAGTGGACAAAAGCGGGAACATTTGTTCTCAAGGCTTTCTGGTTAAACTATCCATTAACTGTGACTAATATCATAACCCAGAAATAACAATTCAACTGGTGGTGTAACTGTGATGACTTTGGCACGCTTGCTTCTCTCTGTCTTTCTGTGTTGGTCCAGACAATTATGTGAAACACACTTCTTCCACTGGGGCGCATGTGTTTTTCCCAATGAGCAAATAGACACAGGCTCAGAATAGGTGGGAGCTGGCGGGTGCCTTGTCATACTTTTCCAGAGATAACACGCCATCCACTGACATGTCAAAAGGATGGCTGCAGAAACAGAGGAGAAAAATATCCACGCCAGGATATGGTGGCAGTGGCAGACAGAAAGTGTGAGCCACAACCAACATGATGTGGAACTGAGCTAAATGTTTTAAAAGTGGTATCACAATTTGGAGAGCTGACATTTGACACTGCAGGGAGTGCTGGGGTGACAATCTGCAATCCATTTCAAGCAAACTGACAAAACATTTTTAAATTGTTCTTTTTAAATGTATTTTTTTCTCTTTCTTTCCCTTTTCTTTCTTTCTTTTTTTTCTTTTCTTTTTAAAAAAAACATTTTCAATATTTTTATGATCAAATGGTTAAAGGTTAGGTATACCTTTTCAAAAGTATTGCAAGGAAATTGCGTATTGCCAATAACCTAGTGCATACTAAAAAATAGGAAGTATGATTAATAGGGAAATAAAGATACCGTGATCGCAGCAAAAAGCTCCTCTCTTTGTGCTTTCCAGCCAGGGTCTAGACCGGAGAAGCGTCTGCAGAGCGCGAGCTTGAAGCGAGAGGGGGCGGAGGTAGAGAGAGCGGGAGAGATAGAGGAGGAAGGGAGTCAGAGAGAGAGAGACGGGGAACAGTGACAGCGCTCATCAGCCCCTGTACAGCCAGGACGGCTTGCATCCGAGCAATTGCTGTCATTCGCAGTCGGAGTTTACAGCCTTTTGCACCGCCTTTTCTTTCGGTCTTTTTCGTCTTACTCACCCCCTCCCTCTGACCCGGTGCTGCCCAGCCCAATCGACAACACCATGGTTTCTATAATTTCAGACCTGGACCCCCTGAAAAGCTGGAACGTGTTAAGGTAAGCGTTGGGGTACTTTACTCTACTGTCGTGAAAGTTTGAACACCCCAAAGGCAGGGCAGAAGTGCGCTGGTGCTGTTAAATGAAAGAATGGGGTCCCAGCGGGAGTTTGGTCACGCGGAAAGATTGTGGTAGTGGTTTTAGAGTACTTACGGGGCACGTATCGCACATCGGCTCGCGGAGTTTGTACTTGTACTTTTTTTTTTTTTTTTTTTTTTTTTTTTGAGCGCTCTTGTTCTGTCTTCCTCTGTCATCGCCTGTGACGCGTGCAAGCTGCTCGCGTACAAGTACATGTCACTGACCCCGTGCAGGCTGTCCCTTCATCGTCATCATCATCATCACCACAAACTTTATTAAAACATACTCAGTTACAACATCACTTCTCCCTTATTCCCATCGCAGTAGAGATTTCAAGTGCTACAAAAAAAAAAAAAAAAAAAACGCACTGCCAGAGAAAAGTAAACGCCCCTGGAGGAATTTATCTTGAAACATTTACTCATGGCTGTTTGCCTGCAACAGAGAACATTTTATTTTATCTCAACATGATTTCTGGGCTGCTCCAGTAATAGTCTCGTTTAGTTTTCTGGCACAAGGCAAAAGGCACTACAGCCTGTTTATATCAAATGGGATTCTGTGGGGTTTCTCAGAGGTCAGAGGTGAAATCATGCGCAGTAGGTGTGCCCTGTATCTCATCGCAAATGTTAGAAGTTCAAATAAAGGATGATTAATATTACCAAAAAAAATAATACATCATAGCACCAAAGGCCTTGTACTTAAAGTTGTATTTTTTTATTATGTAGGCCCTACAATAATTTCATTTAAACACATCTGAAATACAAATTTGGTTTTCAGAATATGCATGCAAAAAACAACCTTGAAGCTTTGCAGATGGGTATGTATGTAACCATTTTATCATTTCAAAAATCTAAAGCACAAATAGAAAGTGGAGCATGCATATCTGAGTGTTGCTGCCCGAGAGCTGTGCAAACCAGCAGGGGAGTGATGTCATCTTTAAACTGCCTCTGATGACCAAGAAGAGAAGTGGGACATGCAGCTCACACATTAGACAAGCTTGCAGATGTCATCACTGCAGGCTAGGCTCTTATGTATTCTAATTTAGGCCAAATTCACAATTTTAAAAACACCAGTTATTTAAAAAAAAGTATGTTAAATTATACACTTAGCCCCAAGGAGAAAGTAGGTCTAAATTGCCTCTGTTTTTCTTGGTTATTTAAATTATTGTATTGTTCAAGATTAGACACAGGTGCAGCCCCTTTCATATGAAGATGCAATAAAAAGCATCTTAATGTCCCAGCCTACGCGCGCACACACACACACACACACACACACACACACACACACACACACACGCTCGCCCATAGATGCACCTCTCAATCATCTATGATAATGAAGCACCTTTTATCTGCATCAATTTCCCCTTTGAAAGAGACTCACCTCCGTCATGCTCCAACAAACACTTAACACACTTAAGAGAGTGCACACTCCTATCATAAACAGTGCATTTGTTGTCTGCTGTTGTCAGGGAACAAAAGGAGAACAATATTGAAGACACTGCTTTCCTAACTGTTTGTGTGTGAGAAACGTTGCAGTTTCAAGTGGCAGGCTAAGATTTGTCAAAAGGGAGAATTATAAAGCAGATGAAAGATGAGACTTCACTGTTGTAAAACAATTAGGCAGCATGATATGCATATTAGCACAATTAGCTGATTAATGCAGCTCGGTGGAATTCGATTTGGGGTAAACGCAATGAGGAGTTAAGTGGAGAAAAAGTGTTCTAAACGCAAGTGTGTGTTTTTATCTCCTCATCAGCAGGATATTTTTTGCATTCGGCATGTCTTATCAGTTATAATAGCCCGCCAATGCACATACGAGGAAGCACACAGAGATCCGGATCGCAGCGCAGTAGATGGCTATTACCAATCTGTAGCGTGCCTCTCGCCGGGCACATCGCATCTCTGAAGTGCAGTTCAGTTATTCCATAATGAGAAACAGCATGCATATTAATTCCATCTGATTACATCCAGCTAAGGACACACTCTCTCTTATATACGCACACGCATGCACGTGGCAAAGTCAAGGTGTGCTCTGGATTCAATTAGGAAATGGAAAGATGAGAGCTGCGGTCTTGATTCTATTACCGCCTGTGTACATTGTTGTCGCGGATACCGTCGAGTTCAGATAAACATTATTGTCTGGCTTGGATTCATAATCAAGCTTGCATTTTTGTAGCTTGATTTGACGCAGGTTGATGGCGAAAATAGTAGGTGACCTTTGACCCGGCAGTGTTGGTTTTAATTAATCACGTTAAAGCGGTGGTCTATTGCTTGCATTATGTGTGGCTGTATATCCCGCCGGACGGAGAAGAGAGCCACAAATCCATCTGCCTAATTGCCGAGACCACTGTTTGAATCTTAAAATCCCTTTTGATAGTCTGCCCGAGTGAGTCTATGTGTGTGTGGCTTATAACCCAGGGCTGTTTCTTTTCAGGATTAAATTTAACAAAGAAGTGAAGAAATACCCCTGGCAGTTGTTTCTGGAGCTAATGCTACCTTTACTCATTACTCAATATGACATTTCCATTCTTCAGTTATTTAGCTTAAAGCGAGCAGTGATCATCCTCCCGGTTGTTCATATACGATCAATGTTCTTAGAAACATTAGCAAATCAAGAGGTGTTTTATCGTGTCTGTCTTAATTTCTCTTTGCTTTGAGCTATATTCTGTAGATCAGCAAACATGTTAGCTCTAGATTTTTTAAAATGATTATTAAAATATTATTAAATGTGAATTAGCGATTAACGATTGCATTTGATGAACTCAGTATTTACAAGCCACATCCTTATAAAGATTCTTCACTTATAAGTTCTAGACAAATGCTTTTTACCCATAGTTTTCTCATTTTTATGGTAGACATTAAGTAAAGCTTCTTTTTTTTTAACGTTTACAAGATCAGCCTCTTACTGTCGCAGCACAATGTATGTCAAACAGGCCTTAAATAAAGTGTCCCATTTGTAAGAATAAAGAAGAAAGAGGCTGATCTTCTATGTTAAATTTAGAACAATATCTGTGGGAGCAAATGTATGGAAAAAAGACACACGCACACAAAAAAAAAAAAAAAAAAAAAAAAAAAGTTTAAAATGTTTACATATTGTTAGTTTTTCCAAATCAAGTAAGACATTTTTATTACTGGTTTATCACAAATAGAAAGTTATGAATAATTGTACAGTGTGTCACCAGATGTAACAATGGATCCCAACATGACGTCATGGATAGGACAGTTCCCCAGAGTACAGACGTCACGCCCCTTCGCCTTTAAACAAAAGAGATTTAAACGGCAAGTGACAACGAGCGGAGACAGACCCGTGACACTTGAAGAGAAAGATTCACAAATCAGCCGGTGCTTCCCGTAGCTGTCAGTCAAAGTTAAGTCAGGAACAATATGGCTTTGAGCGCGTGAGTGACGGAGGCTGACTGGGCGGAGAGAAGGGAGAGCGAGAGAGGGAGAGGGGAGAGATTGTTCTGTAAAAATGCCCGAAATCAGCCCCGGATAATTACAGAGCTGAGCAGAAAGACACAAAAGAGATGACAGGATAAGACAAGAAATGGAGGAGGAATATGAAACAATAGAAACTTTTGCGGCTTTTGTCAAATAGACTGCAGAGGTTTGACGTTTAGCTGTCATGCAGTTGATGTGTTAGCGTGATCTGAACGGCCACAAAATTATTTAGCTATTTACAGGCACTTTCAATTAGAGACACAGACCCTAAAAAACCCTAACCCTCAGCTTGTTTTATTGACCATGGACACATTTACACATATTGTTAATCAGATTTACATTAGTTACAGATTTACATAAAGTCAACACATGTTTTGTTTTTTGTTATGTATTTAAATTTTGAGAAATTATTTAATGCCAATATGTACTGACATTATTGAGTGACCACTATGGTATTTTGAAGCAGTACAGGTATATTATTATTATATGTATTCAATTATTTTATTATAGATACTTCTTGCCTGTAAGTATGGCATTTATTGTGCTTTGAAGCCAAGCATGTATACTTACATGCAGGAGTAAAGGTCAGACAGTTTCAATGGCTGCCCACTGACCCCAATTGATTTTATTCCATTCTTTAATTGTCTTCACCTAGTGTGGTCATTTTTCCCTTTTATTTATTCAACAACAGTGCTTTCCACACGCAGTTAACCCCATTGGCCTAAAGTGACAAATCTGTTTAATAATGCAGCACCTGGAGCATGGCACTCCATCTCTCTAACCTTCTCTCCTCGGCTCCTGTACAAAGCACACATACAGTAATCATTCCCCGTGGCTGTATTTTAGCTGTGCGCGGTGCATTCAAGTCCAACTCTCAATGGGCCTGGTTTTGTACGCTTGTAACGGCCCATAAAAAGATACTTCCAACCTGCAAGTGTTTTCTGTCCAATAAAACATAACTGTACAACACTATAGCAGCAAATGTTTTCTTACGCTGTACAATGATGACACTCTTCAATCTATACATCATTTCTCATGTGTTTTCAGTGATCCTCAATGAGAAAGGAAATAAAGGACCAACAGTGCGGAGTGGAAAATAGCTGTGTTGGAATAGAAAGAAACAGCGCTGGAGAGCTTAGGCGAGAGTGTGGAGAGGAGAGGAAGGAGGAAGAGGAGCGGTGAGATTCAGCAGAGAAAGAAAAACATTGGCACAGTGCCCAGTGGGAAAAAAATAAATAAATATGAAGGAATTAAAATCTTTTGTGTGCATGACTGTTGGTGCTCGCAGAGAGGAGTACAAAGAACCAGAGGCCAAATGGAGACTGTCCAATCATGAGGAAGTTTGCGGTTTTGCAACGATCGATAATGATAGGTCAAAATAGTGTGCGAGTTTTACTGTAAATGTTGAGTGTATAAAAATAATTGATTCCGCTTCTTTGCTTGCATTCACATCTATATTTGAAGCACATTTATTGAAAATACCAT